TTATCGTGCAATTAATTGACTTATTGACTATCGCGACAGGCCTACTCCAGGGGATTAATCGTCAAATTAATCGTTATCGGCTAAATACCCCAATTAATCGTAATAAATTTTTTTTTGCAAATATTGCCCAACCCTAGATCACGTGTTGATAGAAACCTACAAACCACGATGTTTTAATTGACTGGGACCTGTTTGACGAACACATCCTGACATCATCGTTCCTCAGTGAACAAACACAAAGTAGAACTCTAATGCTTATTAAACTACCATGCTGTTATACTGACAGCAGAGAGTTTGATCAAAAACTGAACAGAACTTTAGGAACAGTTTCATATAAAATTAGATGTCACCCTCAGGAAACCTGTTGGGAATGACTCTCAGCTACTATCACACTGTCTGTGCTCCATATTTATAAAACTGACTGATTCATGGCTGTTTCTTAATGCTGATTATCTGTGGCAGTTCTTTTTTATTATTTGGTTCAGTCCAAAAGTTTATAAGTTTTAGTTCCATATTTTAATTTTTGAGTATAAAACTGTTGGGAGTTTCAGACATTTCAGTGTCAGCTACAGTCACCCAGCTGCTGAACTGAGTTTACTACAAACTTTAATCAACTCCATCCAGAGATTACTCTGCGAGTTTCAATAAAATCTGTCAACAAGATATTCTGTTAGACTAAAATTATAAAAACACTGCTTCCACCTGGTGGTGGGAGATAAATACGCAGGAAAGTTCACCATCCTCAATATTGTTTAAACCCATTCTCATCCACGTTTTGCTTTTTTTAATGAAACAGATTTAAATGTCTGAAATTTACAACACATTGTTTTTTCTTTTTTTAATGAGACAAATTAAACAGTAGTTTACTTAAAGAAAAATAAATCCAGCTGGTTGTAGAAACAGGAAGTGACAGACAATCTGGCCACTTTTTATTTTAAGTTTTGAGGAACTATTTTAGCTGAAGTCATGACAAAAATCCAGCAGATGGCGCCAGAGAGCATCTTTTAAATTCAATCTGTCAAAATAAAGCACTTCGATAAAATTATAGAAAACTTATTTTGTACTTTGACTTTGTTATTGTTGTAGCTATTTGTCTCATTTTGAGTAAATAAATGTTAAATTAATTACTGCAGTTTTTAAAACTTGTTAAAGTGTATCTTACCCCCTGTGAAAAGATAACTCCGTCCCAAGGTGAAATTTGAAAAATGCATCATAGTGGGTAGGGGAGGAGGGGGGAGGGTAGAGAGCGGAGGTGTGGCCAGGACAAGAGAATATGACAGCCTCGGCTGAGCTGTCCGCCTCACACCCAGTGTTGCCAGGTGTACGATAATTATTGTATTTGTACGATAATTTGGCCCTCTGTACGATGTACGATCAATAATCCCAAAAATCCCATAATGTGCGATTATTTGACCTCTCCAATGTGTGATGTAATCGACCCGACACGCTGCTCGCTGACATGAGAGGTGGCAGGTTGTGGAACACAGCGGTGCTGATTTAACGACTTCCTCGCTATATTTACAGACTTTTCAGACCCTCTAGAGACTGTTATTCAGAGAAGTGACTAGTGAAAATATAGCGACTGTTTTTCTGGTGTTATTGAGACTTATAGAGACTCTGCGGTGAACACATTTCTCCATTGTGCTGCTGAGAGCTCCTCCTCCCGGTCCCAGAGCACCGACAGGAGGCTTCTTCACGCTGCGTCTCTCCCTGCGCTGCAGGTAGGTATCCATCCCATCCAGACATGAAATGAATACTGCTGCTGCCACTGATCCATGTTAATAAAAACATTTCTATGGTTAAAATATATCCCTTTGCCGGTCCCTAGCCAATAGAAAGGAGGGTTAGAGCTGTGACAGTAAAATAAAAACAAAAATATCTATCTATCTATCTATCTATCTATCTATCTATCTATCTATCTATCTATCTATCTATCTATCTAT